CAAAGCTGGAGCCAAAGCAAAGGTAAGAAAGCTAAGAAAGTGGTGCTGAAAGGCGTGCACAGTCAAAAAAAAAAAAGATCCACACGTCACCTACATTCTAATGATCCAAGACTCTGTGTCTCTGAAGGCAGCCCAAATATCCTTGAAAGAGATCCCCCCGCCCCGGAGAAACAAGCTGGATCACTATGCCATCATCAAGTTCCCCCTAACTACTGAGTCAGCCATGAAGAAAATACACACTTGTGACAACAACACACTTGTGTTCATTGTGGATGTCAAGGGCAATAAGCACCCGATCAAACAGGCTGTGAAGGTCAACACCTTGATTAGGCCTGATGGAGAGAAGAAAGCATATGTTGGACTGGCTCCTGACTATGATGCTTTGGATGTTGCCAACAAAATTGGGATCATCTAAACTGAGTCCAGCCGGCTATAAATCTAAATATAAATTTTTCACCATAAAAAAAAGTCAGAAATAACAGGCAAGAGGATTGAAAGTTACATTTGTTCTCTTGAACTTGCTGACTGGAAAGCCAGTTCCCAGATTGATTCAATAGTCTTCTGGTAATTTAATATAAAGGTAACCAAGATATAATTTATAATCTCTTCTAAAGTTCTGAGGAAAATTCAAATTTAAAAAAATAAATAATATCCAGAAATATCAAATAAATTATTCACAAAATTCCAAGAAAAATAAACATATTGAATATAAAGACCCAGATGTTGAGATTTCCTGAAGACCTAGAATTCAGTTTAGGTCTGAACAATTTTTAAACCTAACCAGGTATGGTCCTTTAATGTGTGTGTGTGTGTGTGCATGTGCATGTGCGTGTGCGTGTTTAAGCAGGTTGGGAGTGAATAATGTTCAGGTAGCACTTTAAAAAGACTTTCAAGACTGTCATTTTTCTTGGCTCCATGTTTATAGAGTAGTCAGTGCTCCTTGTTGCATGTTTTCATGTAGGATGGTTTTGAGAAAATAGTTTGTGTGAAGTCCTACAGAAGAGTAATTGTTCCTAGAGGAGCAAAACTGAATAGCATTCTAAAGAATGTATTTCCCACATGATTTGAGTATCTACTACCTTGTATGTGTGATCAGATGCCTCAGACTGTTATCTACATTTTAGACTCAGTTTACCTGAGGCCCTAGGAAGTTAATGTTTCTAGATAAGTGGGAATCATCTGAATATGTGAAAATATCTTGGGAAAAGTCAATGTACTGAGAGTATGGCTGGTTCCATTCTTATATATGCTACAGGCAGACAATTTCTAATGTCTGGAGTCCCTGGTGTTGACGTTTCAGTAAAGAGTTCAGTGACAAAGAGTGCAGACAAGGCCAAATAACAGTGATGGGCTTCAATGTGGGTATGTGGGCTAATGAGGTCTCCCTGGGAGAGACTAAGGAGGTTTCCTCTGGGTATCACAGTATCACCAGGGGCAGATACAGCTCCCACTAGGTTTGGGACGAGTCACCAAAGTGTAGAGACCCAACACTAGACAGGACCTGGGCAGAACAAGACTAGCCAACTTCAGAGAGGGTGTCTCTTTTAGAAGCAGCCAAAGCAAACCTTAAACCTGGGGGGGGGGGGGCAGAAGAGGCCACGAGGTGTGCTCCCCATACTCCTCGGACTAAGCAGAGAGGAAGTGCCACGTTTTCCGCCTTCTGCAGCCTCCTGCGGCCTCCCAGAGTTATTACCGACTTCTGTTTCCTGCTGAGTGCTGAGCGCCACTTTCTGGACAGAAAGGCGTCCTGAGGGCTGGGCTTCAGGGAGCAGCGATGCTTTGATTGACTGCTTGATTGATTTTTTTCCACCACCATCAGCACGACCACGCTCGTCCTCCCCAGCCCCTTCACAGGTCCTCTTGCAGTAGGGCCACACCGCCCCCTTCCCAGAGGTGTGGGCCTACGTTCTCATCTTTTACGTGCTGCACTGCCAGTCACCTCTCCCAGGCTTGGTTTTTCTCCTCAGCAAACTAAGGCTGGAAAGAGCTGCCTTCCAGGTCGCAATGAGGACTGAAAACGAGGGTGAACGCGTTTAGGAAAGCCAGTTCCTGAGCAGATGGTAAGGGATTGCTTCCAAGAGCTGGGGTTAGTTTTATTTGAGCCTTGTGCATCCCAGAGAGGTCTTAGTGCCTTTATGAGGGAACCTTCTTCTGACTCAGATGCCTGGAGAACTGACCCTACAAGTCAGGTTCACACCCCAATTCAACCCGCGGAACTAAACTCCCTGGGTTTGAATCCTGGCCCCTGACGCCCGGGCAGGTCGTTTAACCGGTCTGTGCTTCAGGCCTTCACCCCAGAACCGAGGAGCAGGAGCGGTCAAGGAAATTCTCTTCATAAGGTCGTCGTGCGGCGTGAGGTGGTATCTAGCACGTGCAGAGAACAATGCCTGGCACCTGGTAACACGGATCGCTACTGTTGTTGGCACTGCCCTCGCTTCTCCTTTTTAGAAAATCTGGGAATTGTATCGCGCCCTCGCTTTCGGAGCCACTCAGGGAAGGCCAAAGGATTTCTCAAAGTTTCTAGGGAAACCAGAAGGTACTGGACGACAAAGGAAGCAGGAAGAACGTGTTTAGATGCTCTTGGATCCCTTCTACTGCCCAAGGGAGTAGGATGTTCCAGGCACAGGCGGCAATCCCTACTCCTTCCCCCCTCTTCATTTCAGGAGAGGCAGCAGTTGTGTGCCAGGAGGCCGATTCCACTTCTACTCCTCATCTTCCAGGGTCCTTCCTTCCGTTGGAATTGACAGCGGCGCCACGTCAGAGACGCCCGGAAGTCAGGGCAGTGCCACGGCGCACGCAGGGCACGGAGGTGGAGGCTGTGGCCACGGAAACCTGGGGAACCAGGCCGCCCGCCCGACGGGGCTCAGGACGTCCGAGCGAGCGAGCGCCCCGCCCCTCCTCTACCTCGCAGGGGGCGGCTCCGCAGCGGGCGGCCGGGGGCTGAGGGGGCAGCGCAGGCCCTCGCCCACACACGCAGTCCCAGCCCCAGCCCCAGCCCCAGGCCCAGGCCCAGTCCCAGTCCCGGCAGGCAGCGAGGCGGGAAGCGGCGCCCAGGCTTCGAGCAGCGCAGCGCACGTTCTCACGCCGCCTACCGTCGGCCCCGCCCCCGACGCCCGCACGCGGGCGGCGCGCGGGGCATTGTGGGCCGCGCGGCCGACTGGAGCCCGTCGGAGGCCGCGGCCCGGAGCCGGCTGCTCCGTTTGCCCAGGCCTAGGGCCTCAAGCTTTGCGAATCTCCCGCCCAGACAGGTGCTCGGTGGCAGACGTCAGTTGGGGGGCGGGGGAGGCGGTCCTCATTGCTCTTCCCTGTGAAGGATTCGAGAGGCGGTGGCGGAGAGCCCCGAATTAGGCATCCTGAGTACGTAATGTCCGCACGCCCAGATGCGCCGCGCTGGCTGTGTGTCTCTGGGCAAATCACCCGACCTCTCTGAACTCTAGTTTCCTCGTTCGCAAGATGGCAGAGGAAACATTTACCTCAGTGACCCCGTGGCTGCGGGTATTGCAGGAACTACCCTGGGTTCGGATTCCAGTGGACTACTTGCTTGGGTCAGCTAGCCCCTCTGTGCTTCCGTTTCCTGTGAAGTAAGGGGATCGGTGAACCAGGGGATAACTAACGTCTGACTCACAGGGTCATAATTCTATGCAGTAAGCCTGGAGGAGCTTTCAGTCTAACCCACTATAGGAGCCCAAACAGTTAATTAGTTAAGGCATCTCAGCGTCTGCCACTTTGAAACCTAGGTAAGTGTCCGTTCTAAGTCTAGGTTTTCCTGCTCCACTTTTTCTCCCCCTGAAAGAGAAACAACGCACAACGGTGTGTGTGGCTACGTGGGGTGATAGTGCCTGCAGAACTGGGAAGAACTAGCTTGTGGCAGAAAGTTAGAGGACACTTCTGGATGCTGCACGCCTCTCCTTCCAGCCTTTCCGCTTCAGTTTCTAGGGACAAGGTACAGGAAAAAGAATAGGAAAGGCAGGAAAAAGGAGCACACAGCATGACGGATTCTGAACAAAAGTTTCTTGACTAGGAAATGTCATTCCAAATGTTAAGGAGACAGGGAGTCTGTCTGACGTGGAATGGGAGAACCAGGATTGGAACTGGCTTCCATGTCTCTGTGCCTGGCTGCCAGTAGGCATGTTGGGAGCATTTCTGTGTCTTTAGTTATGGGCCCTAGGAGGGGAAGCTGTAAAGGGGGAGATGGAAGAGAGGGTGGCACTGCTCTAGGGGACAGGTTTTGGGAATAGAAGGGGCAAGGGGGTGCAGACTTCTGCATATGCAGGAGGGATGCATTCCCGCAACAGATATAGGGCATATCTGACTCTTGAGAAGTAAAACTCCGGTGAAGGGAAGAAAAAAGAGGCAAGGGTTAATTATCTTGGGGTGAATTAAACCTTCAGTGCAGTGTTGGGAGTCTGTATGATCTTCTAAGCTTGAAAATTCTATTAGGAGTCCAAAAACTGGCATTCCCAGACATCCCCTAATCATCCTTGCAGCTCAGACTCTTTCAGAGTAGAGGAGCATACCTACATCACCGTATGCCTCATCAGGGCCCCACTTCTTCAATACCAGTGACCTTCTCTGATTTTTCGGATGGGAGCACTTACATTCCTTTTTGTTCTCTATAGATAATAGGATAATGGAGGATGATGTTTTACCCAGGAACTAACAGGACATCCGGGAAAACTGGCCCCAGACAACGTTCAAGACTATACCCTTCTATTCTACTACCCCCGCCCCACACACACAGGGCAGAGAATGCTCATGCAGCAATGGTCACCCAAGTTATGCCATAAACTTCTAGTAATCTTCTCTCCCCTCAGACTCTGACTAAAAAAGTGCTATTAGTAGAAAAGAGAATAAAATAAAACCAATTCTTCAGTAGTTCCACCTCCCCCCCCCCACCACCACCAGCAAAAGAGACAACTGGTGAGAAGGAGCCACAACTTGGAAAAGATTTATTTTTCCTGGCCATAAATCTCACCCCCTTGTTCCTCTGCCCAGCGAAGCATGATAAAGTCCTTTTCCATAAAGTATTCAGTATTAGAGCCACAAAGCTCCCCCAATCAGTAGCCATCTGCTTCTACCATAACTGCTGCTCCCGAAGCAGGGAAAGCAGCAGCAGAGAAAGGGCACCACTGTGAGGCTGCTGGACAAATGAGGAGACTGAATAGCTTTGGTTTTCCTTGTGTATCTGTATCTATAGAGACAGGAGAAGAAAGGCCGCATTATATTGATACAACAATTGTAAAACAAAACACGGAAGAGGCATCTAAAGGGCAGTATCGCATGCATCAGGGGTCCCCAGATAAAAGGGGAGCTAACAGATTTATAGAAACCTTTAATTGGTTTTCAATTGAAAGCTAAAGAGGCTGGGGCGAAGCTGTGAAGAGTGGCAAAGTGCCCTACTTCAGCTGTCTGGGAAGCGTGATCGATTTCATGGAGGGAGAAAAGAATACTAAACCGTCCTGCGCCTCTGCCAGAGCAGGGAGGGACTCCGTGTTACAAGCATTTCTCTTTGGCCAGGGAGTTATGATAGGATCAGAATAATAGAATCTCCAAATCTTTTTCTTTCTCTCCCCCCCTCCCTATCTTCTTCCCTTCCTCTCACTCTCCCTCAGACGAGTAGGCAAGTGGAGAGGGAAGGAAAGGATCCGAAAGTAAATCTAACGTATCAATCTCGGGAAGAAACAGACCCGGCCTAAAAACACCCAGCTTTAAATCTGTTCATCTGCCAGGAGGGAGGCCTCTTTGACAGAAATAGGAGTCCTACTCTCACCCCACCCAAATCCTTTCCTCTCTCTTGCTCTCTCTCTTTTGTTGTTGTTGTTGTTGTTGTTTTTCCTGCACTCAAACAGAAAAGCTAAAAATCACAGGAGACTCTCCACTTAGTACGGTGAGAAGTCTTTGCTTGTACCCACTGGGGTCATTTCAGAGCAGACGCTCCACTCAGCCGATACCCAGGGCCTTTTCTCAACCCTTTCCTGCCCAGCTGGAGGCAGCCCCCACCAGGCTCCGTTGGCAGTACTCACCCATACAACCCCATCCGTCTGTCTGCATCTCCATCCCTGAGGCTAATTTATTGGCCCGACCCTTCACCATCTTTTTCGATTTCCTAATTAATCACAGATAAAAGGCAATGGTGCAAATTATGATTATGAAGGACTGGAAGATAGGTTTGAACAAAATGGGAGAAGGGAAATATGATTAATTGAATACGATGGTGAAATCTCAAGTGTGAGGAACAGGCCTGGGGAGGGGGAGTGTCCAACCCTGACCTCTGCGTAGCCCCTCTGCCAGCCCTAGCGCCTTCATAAGGAGGCAGCCGCCAGATTAGGTCGCTTGGGTTGCGAGCCTGTGGAAGAAAGAGAACTGGGTTTCCTCTCCCAGCCTCCTTAGGTGCCTGCCACTCAGCTGACTCACCTTCAGCGGCCCTCACCCACCTCCTCCTCCTGCCGCTGCACCCTGGAGAATTTCAGGACCCCTGACCAGTGACTCCACTTGTGGCTGAAGTGCACCACATTATTGCATTAATGCCCCTCAAGTCTCTCACAGTTTTCTTATCTTTGAGCATTCCTCTAGTGAGACCAACTCTTCGTGAAATTTCAGGAAAACAAGTCTAGTAGGTCAGAGATTGTATTTGTTCGTGGAAGGGATTAATAAAACCCCTTTCTGATGCTGCTTTCCAGAATTACATTCGGGATTAAAAAGCAGACCCGGCACGGGCACACATTTTGCATTCACTGGTGGTTGTGATTAATGTTTCCGAGGGGATTTGTGCTGGGAGCTTACGGAACGCGCCCTGGGGGGTCTAATGCCCAAGGGCCGCGGGGCAGGGGCGCGCAGAGGGTCTGTGGGCACGCGCCGCCGGAACGCGGGGGATTAGAGCACCTCAGATGCGCGCCGACGCCGGGCGCCCGCCGGGGCCTTTTCGTGCCCTCCGCCCCCCCCCCCCCCGCAAAACTGCTTTGGAGGAGAAAGTGAGAACCTCCCGGGAGATAGGCTTTTGGTGCTTAGGGATATGTGTAAAGGGAACCTGCCCTCGAGTGGCCTGGCTTTGGGGTGGATGAAAGGAGCCCAGTACCCAGCGTCTGAATTCCACACGTGCGTCCTCCAAGAGGAATTGACTCCGAACTGCTTGCGGGGGGGGAAGCGCTGCCCCGAACGCGTCACTCACCGGCACGTAAAGGGTCGCCCGCCCCCGCCTGTACGAGAAAGACCACAACCCCGCGAGCCGCCGGCCTCAGGGCTGCCTGCGCGGGCGCTCAGAGAAGCGTCTGTGGAGAGGAGCCGGAGCTTGGCGTGAGATGCGTGAGATGCGAGATGCGAGATGCGAGATGCAGGCCCCTCCGCGTCACGCCCCAGTGGGCGGACAAACCCTTCCCGAGCCAGGGCAGGGCAGGGAAGGGGCGGGGGGAGGTGTGGGAAGTTCCAGACTGTTAGGAGGGACACGGAGAGTAGGAAGGCGAGCGAGAAAAAAGAGAAGCAAATAGGAAAGGAGAGGAGGGTAGGAAGAGGGGCACAGGGCGAAGCGGGGTCACAGCTGGGGCGCATTACCGCTCTCTGGCAGAAGGGGGCACCCTTCCGGCCGAGACAGCCTCTCCCTGGGCTGCGGCGGGCTCCTGGGGAGCTCAGGGGAGCTGGGCGCCCCCTCCTGGCGGCTGCGCGGCCGCTCCCCGCCGGCCTGCGGGTGCTCGGGTCCAGCCGCTGCTCGGCCTGCGGCGCGGGGCGCCGGGAGGTGGTGCGGGAAGGAAGGTCGGGGGACAGAGAGGGTGGGGGGCGCTGCGGGAGGGGTCAGGCTCCCCCTTCGTTCCCGCACCCTCCGACTCGGCTTCCTCACCTGGGCCTGCAGGGCTCGGTCCCCGCGCGCACGGCTCCGGCGCGCCCCCCGCTGCGCGCGGCCGCCGGGACCGGAGCCTGGGGGCGCCTGCGGAGGAGCCTGCCCTCGTCGCAGCGCGCTCGGTCCCCGTCGCGGCCGCAGCAGCTGGGAGGGAGGGAGAGACCGCCGGCTGCTTCTGGGCGGCGTCTGGGGGGCCCCGAGCCCCACGCCAGGAGCAGCCATCTGGAGCCTCGGCGGCGGGCGGGGTGAGGCTCGGCCCAAAGGGGCAAAGGACGGGGGTGTGCGGCGCGGGAGCGGCCTGAGAGCTGGAGTGTGCGGCAGAGGGAGAGGGGTTCGGCTGGCTCTCGGGGAGGAGTAGCAGAGGCCTGCCCCGTCGAGCCCGTTCCGATCGCAGGCTAGTGAAAGAGCGGGGGGCTGCTCGGCAACTCCTTCATTTCCCCTGGGGATGGAGCGTGGCGAGCCGGGCAGAGTGAGGATGGGGGGGTGCGTGGGGGCGGGGAGCCAGACACTCCGAGTGCACGCCCGCTTTCCGCTGGAAGTGGTTTTCTCATTTCCCTTTCCTCCCACTTTGTACATGTCACTTCAGGAAACGTTCCTCCCCAGCGGCACGGAGGTTTGGACACCTACACGCCAAGACAACTACTCAGCCAGAACGTGGGACGGGCACTGACAGGATATCACTCTTGGGGATAAACACACTCTAGTTTCCAGTGGACAGTGGAAGAGGAAGAGGATGGAGTGAAGAAAGCTCTTGCACCTTTAGGGTAGGGAAGGAGAGAACGGGGTGGGGAGCTGGTAGGAAGTGTGGTTTCTTCCCACCCCTCCTTTCATTTCAGATCCTCCTGCCAGTGTTTTTATATCTTGAGCTTAAAAAAAAGAAAAAAGAAAAAAAAAACCTCCCTTTCCCTGAGTTCGAATGGAAGAGTGGACCAAACTCAAGGAAGGAAAAAGGTGTGGTGAATATGGAAGAGAGCCAAGGGATCGGTTCAGGGAGCTCAAGCTCTCCAGAGATGCCCTCAGCCCTAGGTTTTAGCCCACTGTAAGGGAAGCTGATTGGGTGTATGGGCGGTGGCGGGAGATCTGAATCAAAAAAAGACCCACTTCCACCCCAAGGCATTAAAATATATTCCCCTCCCCCAGCTGCCTGGTGTCCGGCAGAATGGCATTATGTAAAAGATCTGGCATGTCACCCAGTGGCACATCTGGTAGGTGTAGATGGCATTCATTAGCACAGGGCTCCTACTCTGCAGCATGCCAAAGCCCTGACAGAGATACCCGCTGCCAATCATTCATTTGCTGCCAGAGGCCGGGCGGGATGGCTCCCTTCCACCCTGGCACCAGGACTGCGGGGAAACAATGTGTTGCGATATGAAGAGATGAAAGCAGAGCTGAGGATGCAAGGCACCCAACAGATGTATCCCATGAGGAGATAACGGTGCAAAGAGTCATTTAGCAAGAAAGCATATGCAGGATATCAGGAGGGAGGCTTGGGCAGGGGTCTGCCTGCCTAGGTCTGAGCCGAGACAGGGGCAGGGAACCCCCTTGGAAACCCCAAAGTTCAAGTTTGTTCTCTAAATACAAACACCAATCTCCCCAACTCTAACGTAAGACCCCCTCCACATCCTGTGTGTACCTCTGTTTAAATAACCAGCTCCAAAAAGATGAACTGTGGTCCTCCTCAAGTCTTTATTACCAATTTAAGAGAACCTTTAAAACTGCTGATTTTAATGTTGCACCATTCTCTTTGCCTTGCAATTTGAGAAGGAAAGGAAACTGTCAAGCTGTCTCCTGAATTCTAAAATGATAAAGTGTGTTGGGACTAAAGTGTTTCATACAATAGCAGCATGGTTGGAGAAAAAAAAAAGCTAAAGGTCTTGATTCCTAGCCTTTCAAAAGGGATAAAGATGAACAAAAGAAAGCAAAGAGGATTATTAAAATGGCAAAAGATGGATAAACATAAAATCTAGGATAAAGCTTGCTTCTGAGGTTGTCCTTTTTCTTAGGCTGGGTGGCGATTACCTAGCTGGTTAGTGCATTGTTTTTCATTATATCATGCATATATTTTATAAGTATGCTTTTTATCCATCCAACATATTTAAGCAACAAGAAAATTCAGAGGTTTGAGGGTTTGCAGAATGAAATTTTTATGTTAAGTCTGCCAATTATTTATTGAATTATACTGTTTTTAGTATAAGTACATATTATAAAATATTTGGGGCATTCTTATACTGGTTCATGGTCACAGGATGACTGCCGTAATTCCAGACATCACACCATTGTAATAAGCATGAAGAAGGGGAGGAGGCAAAAAAAAAAAGTTATTTCCTTTTATCAGTAAAGGAAAAAGTCCATTTTTCATTAGCCACACCTGGGTCATGTGGCCACAGATACCCACGAAGGAGTCTGGGGCAACTAGCCTTGAAGGAGGAAAAAGATAGGGATAAGGGAACTGAGAATGGTTATTGAGTTTTAGCCCAGACTGTTAGCCAAAGAATTGAAGGCAAAGAAGACTTAATGTTAGCACCAGGCAAGAGCAGATTATCAAGTTTTATCATTGTTTTAAATAAGAGTCTCTTGTTCTCACTATAGTCATTAAAACTTATCAGTTAGGGATGCTGTACTTGAATTTAGCAATTTGTGAATTTCATCAAATTCTATTTCAGAATAAGGGCTCAAGCTTAATCAATATAGTCATAATAAAATAGCTGACATAAAATCTGATTTATATTCAAATAAAGTCTTTGGAAAAAATAGAATTTGTTTACAAATATTTATTTATTTATTTAAAGATGTATTTATGTATTTGAGAGAGAGTGTGTGAATGCACACAAGTTGAGGGGAAGTGCCAAGGGTGAGGGAGAGAGAAACTCAAGTCGACTTTGCACTGAGCATAGAACCCAACGCAGGGCTCCATCTCAGGATCCTTAGATCAGACCCCCGCTGAACCCAAGAGTAGGATGCTTCAACTGACTGTACTATCCAGGTGCCCTGTTTACAAATTTAAATGAAATAAGGAAAATGGCTTTTGTTAGGACTAGAGTTTTATTTGTTTTTTATTTATTTATTGTTTTTAGGACTAGAGTTTTAATCCTAACTCTGTGGTTTACTAGATGTGTGACTTTGGGCATTTTACCCATCTAAATCATGTGTCCTTACCTGTAAATGTGTAATAATGTTAATAAAGTCTTACAGGATTATAGTGAGGTTTAGAAATAATGTCACACATAGATTTTAAAACATAGTAATTATTAAGGACACAGAAGGAAATTGAATCCAGTCCTAATGAAGAGACTATTTACAAAGATGTGGTCATGGTTATGGGAATAAATGAGATGATGAAGCACACAGAAACAGTTTATCGAGAAGGTCTCATGAGAGAAATTAGTGTTTCTAGAGCTAAGTAAGAACTGGAACCTTGGAGGGGCCAAGTGAGAATCATAGAGACACAGCTAATGCCAGAGAGGCAGTAGTACAGCAAGGAGGAGACAGGGAAGAATACCAATCTCTCTTTTCAAACCTTCCAGTTTCATGTTGATATCTAGCATTGGCCAAACCCAACTGGAAACTAGGTGGTAACATGTTGGAACATGGTGAATGGTCAATTCTGCATGGGTCAGCTTCTGAGGACACAAAGCTGGGCATAGAAGGGTGGAGAAGAGATCTCAAGGAGACAAATGGAGAATAACTAGCACAAAACTATTATTATTCATAAATAAAATGTTATGAGAATCCTCTCTGCAAATATATTTTTAATTCACATTTCCAACTGAAAGCAAAAACTTAGCAGGCTTTGTAAACTTAAGCAACCACGTTTTTAAGAATCATCTCTCAGAGTTCTATGGCTGAAAGGGTCCAACTAGCACTCATGAGAGATTTCCAGAGGTCCTGGCAGGCTTCGCAAGCCAAGACCTGGGAGAATTTGAGAGTACGCTCTATTAACTTCCTTTGGGTATCCCCAGGTCTCTCATCATTTTGTGGCTTCCTGTGTCAAGATCAGTCTTGCTAGGTCTGGTTAGTCATTTGCTTACTGTTATTTTCAAGGAAGCCAGCAAGGCTTCAGCAAAAGGTGACTACCTCATAACAAATCAACCCCACAGCAACAGAAAGTCCTACTAACGTCTTCTCTTGAGTTGAGAGTCTATGTGGACTTCATATTGAAGTAACTTTTCCTCTTTCTAACTTTGCCATCCCTATCTTTTCCTCCTAAACCTGAACTAAACCATAGATAAAATGATGAAAGAGGACAGTAGTGGAGGAACACGTTTCTTTCCTCATTTTAGATAAATTTTATAACTAGAATCAGTTTTGAGTGTTCACTCTAGATATTAACATAAAAGCTTCATTTTGGAATTTCTAGAAACTAAAAGTTTGAGAAATTGAGTGTACTGGTATAGATTCAGAGGTCACCATTTTAATGGAGAGAAGCAGGTTAACTCTAGAAAAATTAGTGACAAGCAAGGATGAATACTTTTGGATATATTATGTACAACTAAACAATACAGCTAATGGAAATTGATCAACTTCTGTCATGATAGCATGGGGAGCTCTCCTGAATCACCCCCCCCCAGGGAAATTAGTGAAAATTATATATTTGCAAAAGATGGTCATTTAGAGCCTCTGGAAATAGCCCTGAAGGCAAACAGCAAATTAAGAAAGGTCTAAGCAAGAAAATTTATGATAATTTGGTAAAATGGATGAAAGCCTGTGGTATTTGAGCCAAGACCACTTTCTTCCTACCTCTTCCTAACTCACTGGGCATTGACTCACTCAGACTGCTGCAACCAAGAACATAGGGCTCCCTTTATCCTCCAGGCCCTTACTGGAGGATTTTCTTTGCAATGGGAGCAAGAGTTCTGCTTTTCTAATCCTGCCCCTAGCTACTTGTTGCTGAGGCTAGGTCTCAGGTGAGTGTGGTTAGGAGATTCAGAACTTCTTCCTTAAGCCTAACCCTCACTTGTGGAATAGAGGTTCTACTTTGGGTATGGCACATTGGGAATCCCTGGATCCTGAGAGCCCTTCCCTCAGTCCTTGAGGGAGAGATTCTGTACCACGAGAAGAAGCTGAGAGGACTGCTGGCTGCTGCCCCTTCAACCCCCACAAGCACTCATCTCCTAGGGTAGAGGTTTCACTCAGAAGCTTGTCATTGTTCCTACCCCCAGAGCGCTGGCTCAGAAATTTTGACTGTGGGTAGAGGGGGAGAACCAGGTCTTAAAGCAGATAGCTACTAATCTCTTTCTGGAAAAAAAAAATCATTTGCAACAGAATGGGGAAGTTTAAACCTAAGAATTACTTTCAAAGAACAGTGAGGTTGTAGGGTGCCTGGCTGGCTCAGTTGGTAGAGCATGTGACTCCTGATCTTAGGGTTGTGAGTTCGAGCCACAGGTTAGGCAGAGAGATTACTTAAAACAAACAAACATGTAGGTTGTGATAAAAGGCAATTGGA